CAGCTTCGCTTTCTTGACCGCGCCCCTCACTCGGCTCCTGCAGAAGAAAATGCCATTTCTCTGGGGGCCCATGGAGCAATATGTGTTTGAGGCCCTGAAAGATGCCTTCATGAAGGAGCCGATCCTGAAGCACCCTGATCCCCATCATCCGTTTGTGGTGGAGGTGGATCCTCCACATGGATGACGCCCTTCATGGCTAACATCGTGTATCACCCTCGCTTCTTCCTTCTTACCCAAGTTGACTCCCCGGTCCCCGCAGCACATGACTTCCTCTCAGAAATGCAGGTGGTCCACCAAGCAGTGCGCCACTATCTGAATCAAGTGAAGGAGGATTACAGGAGGGTGGCAGATAGGTCTCGGCATGTGGTGCTGGAGTTGGCTGTGGGAGATCGCGTGTGGCTGTCCACGCTGCATCTTCCCTCCCACCGGCTGGCTAAGAAATTGGACCACCGGTATCTTGGGCCATTCCCTGTGGAGGCCATTATCAACCCGGTGGCCTATCGCCTGACCCTGCCACGCTTGCTGCAAGTGCACCTAGTGTTCCATTGCTCACTCCTGATCCCTGAGCGGTTGGCTTGTCCTCTCCGCCAACTGTCTCCGCCCCAGCTGTCACCACGTAATGTGGAGATGCAGCTCCCGCACAAAGTGGCCCTTATCCAAGACTCGAGATGGCTAAAGGGACGTTTCCAATACTTGGACTGGAAGGACGATGGGTCGGACGGGGGGACTTGGGTCGATGCAATGGACATACATGCCCACGCTTTGGTGCAGGCCTACCATGCACAATATCCCTCAAGCCCACACCCTGAACATCAGACCTGGGGGAAGGGCCCTGCGGTGAGGGATAGTGTTGTGGCCTAGTGGGATATGTTTGAGCTACTGATGGACTCGGATAGCGAAGAACCCTATGAGTCTGCTATGGAAGATGTGGAGGACCTTGGGCCAGGTTCAGACTCAAAGCATGGATCTGAGAGGCTGGCTGGCCACCAGGAGGCACCTGAGGCATGGAGCAGTTTGTTCCTGATGCCAGGCAAAGGAGGGCAGAGAAACGGAAGCAGCAGCTGCGGAGGCAGACTCATAAGAGATAATCAAGCTCAGGTGGTTGTGGCTTGGCCCCTCCCAAGAGAGTATATAAGTGAGAAATTGGGAGGGGTCCTTTTGCAGGACACAACCGTTCATAACAGTCTTGAGGAAGACTGGTCTGTTTTGTATTTCCATTCTGGTGTGGGTTGCTAGCAACCC